TGATCCCTTCTAGAGGATTTTTAATTTCATTTATTGTGTTGTTCATCATTGTTTGTTTGTTCTTTAGTTCTTCTAGGTCCTTGGTAAACGTTTCTTGTATTTTCTCTGCTCTATTTCCAAGATTTTGGATCATCTTTACTATCATTACTCTGAATACTTTCTCAGGTAGACTGCCTATTTCCTCTTCATTTGTTAGGTCTGCTGGGTTTTTACCTTGCTCCTTCATCTGCTGTGTGTCTCTCTGTCTTCTCATTTTGCTTAATTTACTGTGTTTGGGGCCTCATTTTCGCAGGCTTCAGGTTCGTAGTTCCCATTCTTCTTGGTGTCTGCCCCCAGTGGCTATGGTTCGTTCAGCGGGTTGTGTAGGCTTCCTGGTGGAGGGGACTCGTGCCTGTGTTCTGGTGGATGTGGCTGGATTTTTCTTTCTGGCGGGCAGGTTTACGTCTGGCGGGGTGTTTTGGGGTGTCTGTGACCTTATTATGATTTTAGCCAGCCTCTCTACTAATGGGTGGGGTTGTGTTCCTGTCTTGCTAGTTGTTTGGCATAGGGTGTCCAGCAGTGTAGCTTTCTGGTTGTTGAGTGGAGCTAGATCTTGGTGTTGAGATGGAGATCTCTGGGAGATTTTCGCCATTGGATATTACTTGGAGCTGGGAGGTCTCTTGTGGACCAGTGTCCTGAGGTTGGCTCTCCCACCTCAGAGGCACAGCCCTGATGCCTGGCTGGAGCACCAAGAGCCTGTTATCCACATGCCTCAGAATAAAAGGGAGAAAAAGAAAGAAAGAAAGGGAGAGAGAGAGAGAGAGAGGGAGGGAGGGAGGGAAGGAAGAAAGGAAGAGAAAGAAAGAATAAAATAAAATAAAGTAAAAAATAAAGTTATTAAAATAAAAAATAATTATTAAAAAAAATTTTAAGTAATAAAAAAAAAAGAAAGAAAGAAGAGAGCAACCAAACCAAAAAAAAAATCCACCAGTGATAACAAGCGCTAAAAACTATACTAAAAAAAGCAAAAAAACAAAAAACAAACAAAAAAAAAAACGGACAGACAGAACCCTAGGACAAATGGTGAAAGCAACGCTATACAGACAAAATCACACAGAGGAGCATACACATACACACTCACAAAAAGAGAAAAAGGGAAAATATATATATATATATATCTTTGCTCCCAAAGTCCACCCCCTCAATTTGGGGTGATTCGTTGTCTATTCAGGTATTCCACAGATGCAGGGTACATCAAGTTGATTGTGGAGATTTAGTCTGCTGCTACTGAGGCTGCTGGGAGAGATTTCCCTTTCTCTTCTTTGTTCGCACAGCTCCCGGGATTCAGCTTTTGATTTGGACCCACCTCTGTGTGTAGGTCGCCTGAGGGCATCTGTTCTTTGCTCAGACAGGACGGAGTTAAAGGAGCAGCTGATTCGGGGGCTCTGCTCCCTCAGGCCCGGGGGAGGGAGGGGTACGGATGTGGGGCGAGCCTGCGGCGGCAGAGGCCGGCGTGACGTTGCTCCAGCTTGAGGCGCGCCGTGTGTTCTCCCGGGGAAGCTGTCCCTGGATCCCGGGACCCTGGCAGTGGCGGGCTGCACAGGCTCCCGGGAGGGCAGGTGTGGAGAGTGACCTGTGTTTGCACACAGGCTTCTTGGTGGCGGCAGCAGCAACCTTAGCGTCTCATCCCCATCTGTGGGGTCCACACTGATAGTCGCAGCTCGCGCCCGTCTCTGGAGCTCCTTTAAGCTGCGCTCTTAATCCCCTCTCCTCGCGCACCAGGAAACAAAGAGGCAAGAAAAAGTCTCTCGCCTCTTCGGCAGCTCCAGACTTTTTCCCGGACTCCCTCCCGGCTAGCCGTCCGAAGCCCGAGCCTCAGCTCCCAGCCCCGTCCGCCCCGGCGGGGCAGCAGACAAGCCTCTCGGGTGGTTGAGTGCCGGTCGGCACCAATCCTCTGTGCGGGAATCTCCCCGCTTTGCCCTCCGCACCCCTGTTGCTGCGCTCTCCTTTGTGGCTCCGAAGCTTCCCCCCTCCGCCACCTGCAGTCTCCCCCCGCGAAGGGGCTTCCTAGTGTGTGGAAACCTTTCCTCCTTCACAGCTCCCTCCCTCTGGTGCAGGTCCCGTCCCTATTCTTTTGTCTCTGTTTTTTCTGTTTTCTTTTGCCCTGCCCAGGTGCGTGGGGAGTTTCTTGCCTTTTGGGAGGTCTGAGGTCTTCTGCCAGCGTTCAGTAGGTGTTCTGTAGGAGTTGTTCCACAGGTAGATGTATTTCTGATGTATTTGTAGTGAGGAAGGTGATCTCCACGTCTTTCTCTTCCAGCATCCTGAAGCTCCTCCTGTAAAACTCTATCTTTTCAGACCCCTGTGTGGCCTCAGTAATTTGATAGTTTCCAGCTCCCCCGAGATTTCTCTTGAGTAAGTGCTTTTTCAGTATACCATGACCCCTGCCGTGCACAGAGCTGCTCGCCGAGCCTGGGCCGGGTCCCAGTGCCCGGACTCGCCCGGCCTCTACGTGGCCACGCACTGCAAGGCGGGCTCCAGCTCTCTGCCGCCTCCACTGTCCATGAGGGTGCAACCGCACCTGAGCTGCTGGGCTAGGGCGCAGCCCAGAAGTGGCAGCCTGAGGATTTTTCTTTATTGATCATTCAGTATTTTCATTTCAATTCTAAGTCATTCAGATATCCATAGTACAATTTTCTCACTATGTTATAGAAACATTTTAATGGTACTTTAATTTTAATATTTTAATGATAGTTTAATGTCCACAAAAATGGACTCATAAATCAGACAGATTCAGTATTCAAGTATACTCAAGAAGAGGTAAATGAACAGTCAAAGACTGAATTGGTTTTTTCTTCCATCACAACATCCCCACCAGCTGTTAGCAGTGCCCAGAGGATACCACTTGAGAAAGGCTCACAAAAAATAGTACTCTCCACAAAAAGGAGTCTGGAGAGTTGCCACTCCTGTCTTTTCTATTGTTTTCCTGAAGAAAGGAAGAAAAAACTAGGTAGTATTTAATGAGTACCTTGGGTGGGTACACCAGTCCTTTCACAGATATTAGGAAGCATGGGTCTCTTTCAATACAAGTTTTCAAACTGCTCTAGGATTGCATGATTCCTTAGGGAAATGAAATACCACAGTGGTGAGTGTCATGCTATCCTTCACTATTGTACTTCTGCCAGCATCTAAGAAGATAGAGCCAGTGGACAGCTTTGGTATCAAATAGCTAATGTAGGGCCTTGGTGGCGCACAGTATTCAAGTATACTCAAGAAGAGGTAAATGAACAGTCAAAGACTGAATTGGTTTTTTCTTCCATCACAACATCCCCACCAGCTGTTAGCAGTGCCCAGAGGATACCACTTGAGAAAGGCTCACAAAAAATAGTACTCTCCACAAAAAGGAGTCTGGAGAGTTGCCACTCCTGTCTTTTCTATTGTTTTCCTGAAGAAAGGAAGAAAAAACTAGGTAGTATTTAATGAGTACCTTGGGTGGGTACACCAGTCCTTTCACAGATATTAGGAAGCATGGGTCTCTTTCAATACAAGTTTTCAAACTGCTCTAGGATTGCATGATTCCTTAGGGAAATGAAATACCACAGTGGTGAGTGTCATGCTATCCTTCACTATTGTACTTCTGCCAGCATCTAAGAAGATAGAGCCAGTGGACAGCTTTGGTATCAAATAGCTAATGTAGGGCCTCCCTGGTGGCGCAGTGGTTGAGAGTCCGCCTGCCGATGCAGGGGACACGGGTTCGTGCCCCGGTCCGGGAAGATCCCACATACCGCGGAGCGGCAGGGCCCGTGAGCCATGGCCGCTGAGCCTGCGCGTCCGGAGCCTGTGCTCCGCAGCGGGAGAGGCCACAGCAGTGAGAGGCCCGCGTAACAGACACACACACAAAAGTAGCTAATGTAGAGGAAGAAACACTGGGCAAAGAATAGACAAAAGGGATTTATGCCCTCAGAAAGAAAAGAATGACTAGAAATCCTGGACTATATGAGATAGAGTGTGTTTAACAATCAGTTCTACTATGTGCACCAGTTTGGAAAAGGAAGAAGGGACAAGGTTCTAAGATAAAAATGAATAAGGGCACAAAAATATCCACACTATCCATGTCCCCTTAAATGTGTTAAATAGGATGGGCTCTTTCTTCAGCTGTATTTGGAAAGTTGAAAGTCACAGGATACAAGATGTAGTTTTAGTGACCACTTTTGGTTAACTCCATCCATGCTAATAAACAAATAAGTAATAGTAATTAATTAAGGAAGCCAAGAGTTATTTTCACTCTGGGACCAACGTTTGTAAAAGATTTGCAGAGGAGTTAATGGGAGTTATTTGCTTCTCAGTCACAGGTGCCAGCTTGGAAAAACTTGTTGCTAGCTATTGATACATCCAAACACAGAGAAATATGCAAGCAAAATTTGATTAAAAAGTTGGCCCTCGGGGTCATTGCAAAGCTCCAAAGAAGGCAAGTTTGATGGCTTCAGGAAAGATTAGTTCTAGGGACACCATAATCTCTGTCATAAAATATCACGTGCTGGGCCTGCTTCCAGAGTCCTTCCTCTTAGAGAGCCTAACCTGAATAAGAGCTACAACAGTGGTTTGTGATATATAACTTAACACATCGAACAAGCTTTTGTGTCTGAATATATGAGAAGAAAACGTTTGATGGAACCCATAGCACTGAAATCCTTGACATTCAGCAGTGTGATCTCCAACTCCTACAAAGCAATTTTTTGGAACATTGTTGAAAAACCAAAATTGTTATTTTCACAGTCTCTCCTGGCAGGAAGAAAAAGGAGAGCAATCCTCAGGATAGGCTGAACGTCTTGTCCGCATGCAGATCTGGTGCAAAATTCGAAACCTATGGTCATGGAGCCTCGCAAAGATTCTAGACCAAACGCCTTGACATCCATAATCCCTTAAAGCTCTCTCCTTTGGCATGTTTCTAAGACAAAAGCATGCATTATCCTTGCCTACCTGTGACCACTGATAAGAGCCAATGTGACTTTTTTTTCTTTCAGGTTGTACAGGAGGAGATCCCCATTCCTTCCAGCTTTGTGAGGCTGAGTTACCTAAGCAGCCGCACCCCCGGGTATAAAACCCTGCTACGGATCCTTTTAACACATTCAGCCATTCCCGTGGGCATGATAAAAGTACACCTCACAGTAGCTGTGGAAGGGCGACTCACACAGAAGTGGTTTCCCGCTGCAATTAATCTTGTCTACACATTTGCTTGGAACAAGACCGACATCTATGGACAGAAGGTTTGGGGCCTGGCAGAGGCTTTGGGTATGTTGAAATAATTCTGTGTAAATAGCAGTGTTGTGTTCACAAAACTAGCTGCATATTAATTCGTATTTGGAATAATTACGGGTTTTCTTCTATTTGAGGGATCTAAGGCACTTTTTCATTTAAACACTCCCTTTGGGCCTGTTTAGAGTTCCCTTTTGACACATTTTTGCTTCAAAACGATTTTAGTTCCTCTTTCATGATGGCTGCATACCAGTGGAATCACACAATATCTGACTTGTAACTGTCTCCAGAGCTGAGTGTTGCCTTCTAACTGTGACCTTTGGTGTGGCGTTCTTCAGGTCATGTTTTCATATTTGGCATTTAGACTGTCATTTCCACTTAGAAAATACAAAATTTTAACTTACAGGCATCTCCACGTACTATCTTTTATGTCTAGGATAGTTAGACTCCATTAACTTGTTACTGTGGTAGGTTAAATAAAAAGTCATCCTGCCTTCCTAGTCCTTTTGACTTTAAAACCTAGAATCTTACAAATAGCGGGGACCTTAAGAGGTCCTTGGGGGTCTGTGATCTTCAGATATTTAATTCCTTCAGACAAACGGCATTTTTTAAAAATGAGACTGAGACAGATTTGCCAACTTTTTATTTTGCCAAGTAAGAATATTTTTTAGAGGAAAAAAAAAAAGCCCCTACAATCTACTGTTGCCTACCAGTACCATAATTTCATCAAGGAGGAATACCTTAGCATCAAAAAAAGGAATAGTCTGTCTTAAGAAATGGTAGTAAACAATCTAATACTGATGCTCAGAGAGACAGACAGATAGGCAGAGAGACACCGATGTCTTTATTTCTCTCAGTCTGTACAAGACAGTGAAAACTTCCTAAGAGACCTGGCAGGTCTTCGGAACCACGGTTGGGAGCCATTGACTCTTGTGCCTTCAGGCAGTAGCTCATGGAAACCACCCTTGGACAGATGAGAAGACTATTTTTAAAGTTCTCCAGAGGAGATCTTTTCATATTCTCCCTTGGAAGTGTCTATCGTGGTATAATTCGCATATAACTGACCTATATTTCTTAGACTACAGTGTGTCGATTTCCTCTCTTTCTTTCCAGAGGGAAGCATAGGGAGGGGAATTAAAAAAAAGACTGGTGACTCTTCTTTGCCCAAGAGACCCTCATATATTTAAATAATCAACTCATCTCTGTTGGGCTTTATTAGAATGCAAGGACCATGGAGTGGTTCAGATTTCCTCAGTTAGTGAGGAATTATTGTAACGACACAGGGGAAAGTAAGGAAAGAACAAGAAAAGGCATCAGCAGCCTCAAAGGTGGGCCTCATCAAATTACAGCCTGGCTCGGGATACATTGTAGTCCTAGAAGATCAGCCTCTGCTCTATCAGCTGAGCAACAGCTCTAGTTGTCCCCTCTGCAGCAAGAGTCCACTGCTTCCCACCATGGTGACCCAGCCATAGTGATGACGGAGCTCATCACTTCTCCTGTGGTACTAACTACCCTCTTTTTCTCTCAGCTCTTACCAACTCCATGATCTGGTGTCTTGCTCTGTATCTTGCATTCAGATCTCTCTTACAATATTGGGTTTTGTCAGCCAATCACCATGCAGTAGAGAACATCCGAAGGCAGAGCTCTACCGTTAGGCTAACTATCAATGAGGTCGCTGGCCAGCCTGTGGAGTCCTGCCCAATCCCTAGTCCAGTGAGTGTAGTGATGAAGAGAACAACTCTGGAGCCAGACTCCCTCCCTGAGTTCACATCATCCCTTCTCTACTTACTAGCAGCTATGCAACACTGGGTAAATTACTTAATCTCCAAATGCCACAGTTTTTCCATCTATTAAACGGGTATCATAAAGAGAATGTTACAGGTTATTATGCTATGAGGATTAAATGAGGTGAGTGAGCGCTGGTTGCTGGTATGGTCAGCATATTGGAATCACAAGGTATAAAGCATGGCGCCTATGCAGGTGTTTGTTGCCTCAGCTTCTCTAATAAGGGAGCTGTGGGCTTAACAGGTAGGTACTGTGTTAATTATGCTCCATTTGCCCTCCCAGACACACACACACACACACACACACACACACACACACACACACAGTCTCTTCTGTGACCTTCTCTGTGCTTTGAAAGACTGGCTTCTATGGACCACATTGCCTGGACTCCTTTGCTCTCTGGCTTCCCTCTTGATTTGGTCAGTGGATGGCACCATCAGGAGACAGCAGGATGGAAGGAGAGAGAGGTCAGGGTATTTATCCCTCTCCCTGCTTCACTGCAGTTCTGGCAGTGACTACACTGGAAGATGGGAGCTCCTGTTGAGTAGCCCTTCCTCCAAATCCCCAAGCTCTCTCTGGTCTCCTGTGTCACTCCCTCCCCTTACCCCTCTCTGCAAGCCCAGACGGCTTCCCAATGTTGCCAGTCCCTGGGTGGGTCACGACCCTTGTTGATTCCCTTCACCCTGCTCACACTTCTTTAAATAGTCCCTTCATACAGCTCTTTGCTGTGAACACTTCTGAGTGTGATATCTGACTCCTGCTGGGAGTCAAATATCACAGCCTGGCTGATGCCTCCTCAGAGCCTCATATTCCCCTCTCCAGGATATTATCCTAAAGCCTTTGCTTCACTAGAATAATCTAAAATTCCTCTAACTTTTCTCCATAGGGCTTTGTTTTCCAATTCTTTATGGCTTTCCTCAGAACCCTTGCCAAGTTGTGAGATTTGGGGGGTTTTTTGTTTTTATTTTTTTACTTTTTTCTTAAGTTGTGACACTTAGCAATTTACCCAGTACTCCGATAAAGAGCTGACCAAGACAGTGTCTAGCAGTCATTTCTTGCTAGGGTTCACATAAATGCAATTCAGCCTGACTTTTTAAAAAAAGTAAAAGCTTTATTGAGATGTAATTCACATACCATAAAGTTCACCCATTTAAAATGTACCATTCAGTAGGTTTTAGTATTATCACAATGTTGTACAACCATCACCAACATCTAATTCCAGAACATTTTCATCCTCAGCCCACAAAGTAGCCCTATAGACACTAGCAGTCACTAGTCACTCCTCCCTCCCCTCCAGGCCCTGACAACCACCAATCTCCTTTCAGTCTCTATGGATTTACCTTTTCTGGATATTTCAAACAAATGCAATCATATAATATGTGGTCTTTTGTATCTGACTTCTTTCAGTTGACATAATGTTTCCAAAGTTCGTCCATGTCATAGCAGGTGTCAGTCCTTCATTCCTTTTTATGACTGAATAATATTCCGTTGCACAGATATACCACGTTTCATTTATCCATTCATCAACTGGTGGACTTATGGGTTGTTTCCACCTTTTGGCTATGGTGAATAATGCTTCTATTAACATTTGCATACAAGTATTTGTTTGAATACCTGTTTTCAGTTTTTTGGGGGATATACCTAGGAGTAGAATTGTTGGGTCATATGGTAGTTGTCTGACATGTTGAAGAGTGGCCAAACTGTTTTCCACAGTGACTGCACTATTTTATCAACCTCACTTTATGCATAAAAATGTGTTATACATCTTCCTTTTAAATACTCCCAGTGCTGAAGATTCTAAAATTTTCCTCCTTGTTGTAGTTAAGCACTCTTAATGACTTAGTTTCTGATATATCCATGGATGATTGAATAAACAACTAAAACACAAAGAAAAACAAAGATGTTCTGGTATACACACCAGTGATGAAGGCTTCATCCATATTGTTTGCCTATGGATGTTGTTTTACTTCCTATTTCTACAGTTAAGTTCCTGGTCAGAACTTGCTCCAGCATTCTGACTATAAACATGGCCTTAATTAAAATGCTGAAACATATATTGTTGGTTCCTTTTTAAGGCTAGTAACAGTAATAAAAGCAAGAGAAAATTGACCCACTCAGAAATATCCAAGGGAGAGGGAAAAAATGTTCCTCGTGGTGTTTTATGTGTACTTAAGGGACATTTTTTTTTAGAGTAGAGAAAGAAAATTGGCAAGGATCCCAAGGAAAACAGCCAAAATAATTTCAGGTGTGGTACCTAAGATGGAATATGGATTATTTACCTTGGAGGAAGTGTTCCTGATAACTTAATCATGGTTAAAGGGATTTTATTTACTACCTAGTCTCCATTTCCATCTCCGTGGAGACTAAGGGAATTTTCTTGACAGTGGTAAAGCATTAGGATGAGTGGCAGAATGAAGATGGACAATCTACTTCTCTGAAGATGGATTGTGAGTGCCTTAAGAATATAACAGACAATAAATAGTTCAGGTGATAAATGGATGGAGACAAAGCGATCAAGTATGTTGCCATTGAATTCACACCTTAATAGATACGATTGAATCTAAACAAAGAAGCAAACATTTAGTTGTACTCCTAGCCATATTTTTAAATCACTTAACTGATGTTAGAAGAAACAGACTAAATTTTGCACCAGATATTAACAATGGTGCTATATATGACACTTCTCAGGTTTGCTTCAAATTCAGAAACTCTAGTATAGGCTTTTGGTAGGAAGAATAATAGCCACCACCTCCCAAAGATGTAAGTATATTATGTTACATGGCAAAAGATAATTAAGGTTACAGATGGGGTTAGGGATGCCAATCAGCTGACCTTGAGATGGAATGATTATCCTGGATTGTCCGGGTGGGCCCACTGTCATCACAAGGGTACTTAAAAGTGGAAGAGGGAGGCAGAGGGGAGGTCAGAGTTAGAGGATAGTATAACTATAGAGGAAAGGCACAGCAAGCTGCAGTTTTGCTGGCTTTGAGGATAAAAGAAGGGAGCCAAGGACCAAGGAATGTGGGTGGCCTCTAGAAGCTGGAAAAGGCAAGGAAATGGAGCCTTGGGGCCCCCAGAAGGAACTCATCCCACTGACCCCTTGATTTTAGCTCAGTGAGACCCTTTTCAGACTTCTCACCTCCTTATCTATAAGATGATAAATCTGTCTTGTTTGAAGCCTTTAAGTTCGTCATAATTTGTTACAACAGCAATAGGAAACAAACCTTGGCCACTATTCTTACAGTCCCAGT